GTACCTGAAGGTTGGGAAGTACAACCCGACTGTGCTGCTGGAGGAGATCATATCGACCACCTTCCCCTCGCAGCTGGCGGAGAGGAAGCGGATGCACCAAGCCGAGATGGCTGAGCTCTCCAAGTAAGCAGAGAACATCTCCCAGTTGCGTGTGGGTGTGTGTGTGTACAGCCAGGAGGATGGGGGTGCTGTAGTCTCTTCAAAGGGGCAGAGAGAATCGCTGAAAACCATGGGTCTGTCCCTGCCGGATCCTCCGTATCACATCAGCAGGGGCTGCTTCCCCAGACCTGTGATAATCTGAAGGGATCATTTAATATACTGCTGGGCCAATATAGTTTCTTTGGCCTGTTAACACATTAGTAGCGTTGGGTATTTAACCGGTCAAATGAAGTTCAGTCAATTGACAGGCCAAAAATTTCCAATAGCTCCAAATAATACACAAAAAAAATAATTTTCCATTACGAAATGTGTCAAAGAACCATTAAAAAAATCATCTTGCTCAACAAAACTGCAAGAAAATATATTTTTTTCGTAAAACTGCTAGAGTCTTTGACCAGTCAAAAAATCTGCAGTCAGTTGACCGGTTGGTTGACAGTATTGACCAGCTTGCCAACCCTAGACATTACAGAGGTGGCTTGGGAGCATGGCAAGGACTCAAGCTGCCTCCAAGAGCCAGATGTGGGGAGACTCTGTCCCCTTTTTCCCTAAGCTTCATGTCCCCATGGAGGGGATAGCCACCGGGTGTTTTCCAAGGGGTTCCTGATGGCTCCTGTCCCTTTGTCTCCTCTGCAGCCTGACCAAGAATGTCCCCATCTTTGTGTGCACGATGGCCTTCCCGGGTGTCCCGTGCCCCCTGCATATCTTCGAGCCCCGCTACCGCCTCATGATCCGGAGATGCCAGGAGACTGGCACAAAGATGTTTGGCATGTGCATACACGAGCCTGGGAAGAGGTGGGCCATGGGGCTGGAGGCTGGTGACGGTTGTGTTTGTCTCTGTGTGTCTCATCCTTCTGCCACCCTTCACCATTGCAGACCAGCTATCCCCTCTTTTGCTCTAGGCTAATCCCAGTGGCTTTGTCGTCTGTGTCAGTCTGCTACGTGGTGGTGCCTCTGAAGGGCCACTAGCAATGGTGCAAGCCATGTAGCTCAGTGCTTATGGTGCTAACATAGAAATCATAGACAGTGAGGGTTGAAGGGACCTCAGGAGGTCACATCCAGTCCAACGCCCTGCTCCAAGCAGGACCAGCCCCAACTACCTCATCCCAGCCAAGGCTTTGTTGAGCTGGGCCTTAAAAACCTCCAAGGATGGAGACTGCACCACCTGTCTGGGTAACCTGCTCCAGTGCTTCACCACCTTCCTAGGGAGAAAGTTTTTCCTAATATCCAACCTAAATACATGGCGTGTATGCAGTTGTGGGGAGGGGGCTTATATCCCACTTGCATTCAGATGCATCTGGCATTACAGATCTCTGCCCTTGGGTCTTCCACCCAGCTGGTTCCTCAGACCTTTGTCCATGAGGAAAAGAAAGCAGCTTTCATGTCGTCCTAGCACCTAGGCTCATTCCTTTCTATGCTTTCCTTCTGCTCCAGGTTCGCCGACTACGGCTGCATGCTAGAGGTCCAGCGGGTTGAATTTTTGGCCGACGGGCGATCCCTCGTGAGCACCGTAGGGAAGCGGCGCTTCCGGGTGCTGAGACGCGGACACCGGGATGGCTACAACACTGCCGATATTGAGTACCTGGAGGATGAGAAGGTGGGAGCCGCACATCGAGCTGTATGCAAGGGGCAATAGTAACCACTCAGAGCAGAGACTTCCACGCTTTGTGGGCATGTTTCTAGGGGCTCCCTCCAGCCATCCACCTCCTGAGTGCCCATCGCTGCTAAATCAGCTCTTCTTTCCTGTTTGCAAGAGGCTGGTGTTTCCAGGGGTGGGCTTCAGGGGTTCTGCCTCCTCGTGCTGTGTGATCAAATAGCTATAACCCATCTCCATCACTGAGGCAGCTCACATTGGCTCACAGCTCAGCTCTTCACTGCGTTGCAGGCTGAGCTGGTCTGAGTGCGGTGGGACCTTTTGTGGAGTCACTGAATGGGATGCCTGTGGTTCAGAGGGTGGAAGTAGCTACCTGCCTCTTATCATGACCCCTGCTCCCATGTGCTGTCTCCCTCCCATTCCTTCAGGTGAAAGGGGAAGAGCTGGTGGAGCTGCAGCATCTGCAGGAAGCCACTTACCAGCTGGCGCAGAGGTTTTGTGAGCAGGCGGACGCTGCCTTCAGGCAGACTGTGATGCAGCGTGGAGCCCTGCCTGAGAAGGGAGAGGATGCCCAGGTAACCAGGGTGGCTCTCGCGGGGTATAGGAGGGAATGCCCCTTAGCAAGGTGAATTGCATAGAAGCAAAGGTCATGAAGGATTACTCAGATCATCCAGCCTGAGCTTATGCATTTCATCCAGAGTCCCAGTGGGAGCCCAGTGGCCTGTGGTTGAAGATGACATAAGTCCAGGGAGACCTCCAGTCGTGCTTTAAAGGCTCCAGGTGATGGAGAACTTAACCCTTCATTTAGAAACCACTGCTGGGGTTTAACTACCCTTGGTGTTAATGAACCGTGCAACTTATTTTGAAGGTTGCTGGCTTCTGCTTACAGCTATTGGTCCCCCCTGTGGCTCTATCTCCTTGCTAAGGTAGTTAGATCCCCAACTTCTGGCTGAATCAGTGAGTTAGGCACCAAAACCTCTTTGAGGATCCTAACTCAGGAGCCTCTTTGATACACAGATACTCTTTCCAGAGCCGGGAGGAAGTATCATGGGGTTTGTGCCACGCGCCAAGAACATGGCCCTTGACCAGATTATTTTGAGTACGAAAATGCCACATCAACGTGATCACTTTCCTGGCAATAAGTGCACCCCAGGGTTGTTGCACAAAGTGGCTGGGACCTGAATTCCTCTGCCCAGCGTTCATGATCCTTAATGAGGAAACTAAGGCATCAAATGAGCACCCTGGCTAGAGGTGGCAATGCTGATGTGATTCTGCCCAGCACTTCTGCATGCTCCCTGCAAGGCCTCTCAGCCAGGTCACAGGCACTGTTGCCTGGACTCTTGTTCAAGCCACTGTTGTACCATAGTTTTCCCCCCCTCTTTCTCTTCCCCCACTCCAGGACTCTGCAGATGGACCAGCTTGGTGTTGGTGGCTTATTTCTATCTTGCCCTTTGACCCATCCTACCAACTCAGGCTCTTCTCCACCACCTCCTTGAAGGCCCGTCTCATGCCGCTGAAGCAAATCCTCACTGCCCTCCTGGAAAGCCGTGATTTTGGTCGCCGGCACTCAGGCCTCAACCCAGGAGGGGGAGTATAGACCACAAGGCACTGCCTGGGACTTTTCCAGCTCACCCCTTTCATTTCTGCATTTCTTCTCCGGGGCTTTATGCTTTGATTGTATCATGAGCTCAGCAATGTGGTGTGCAGGGGTTTCTCCAGCCATCCCAAGCTGGCTTGGTGTTTGCAATGGTTTCTAGAGTCTTTCATCTATGAGTGATGCTATAGGAAGCTTTCATCAGCTGCTTAGGTGAGTTAGGAAGGCATAGGTAGAGCCTGAAGGTGGGGAAATGGACTCACACCTAGGTGTTGAAAAGCACAAGCCAAAAGCTGCTTTGGCATCCTGGAGAAATCAGTCTGGAGGGCAAGACAGACATGCATGTCATGGATTTGGGCTTCTCCTTTATAAGCACATGGGTAGCTTTATAAGGACATGGAGGGGATGGAAAGGGCTTGGGGGCGGTCATACTGATTTCTCTGGGTTCCTAGAATGAGAACCACCAGCCATTGGTTTAACCTGATAGTCTTTAAAACTTAAAAGAGAAGGGAACTTAATTGAATTAACTTATGTTGGGTTCAAGAGCTCATCCTCTAATGTGGTCTTATGGGCAAACAGTGCTGAGAAGTCAGTATTTTAAAATAGCCAGTTCAGAAACTTCTCTCTTTGCAGCTTCACTCACTTCTCCACTTTTGTTGGGATTTTGAACTGGCTGGAAGCTTCTGCTCCCATGTCTTTCCAGCACTGACATGATGCTGCAGAGATAGGAGGCCTTAGCAGTCTAGAGTCTGGCCATGCAGGCTTGTTGCATGAAGGCTGCTATGAAATGATACAGGTGGGAGGCTTTGCTAGGACAAGCCGTGTGGGATTTGGAGTCTGGAGCCAATTCTTAAAGTTTAGGTACAGAGGCATCAAACTCTCAGAGGGTTTTGGCCTGAAAATTGATTATGTAGGATTTCTGCTCCAAAATAGTGAAAAATCTTGTGAGATTACCACCTCTCATAAGCTTTTTCTGTCACCTGGTGTTGTAGTTGGCAGCCACCTGCACTAAAGTCCAACTTTTCAAAGCTGGAATTGAAACCCAGTGGGTTGGGCTCAGGTCACAAGCTTGGAAGATAAAAGTGCCTGGAAATCAGAGGGGATTTGGAGGATCTGGAGCTGGACCCGTGATCCTAACATGCGACCTTCTCCTTTGTTGGGCATCCTCTTGTTTTTGAATTCAGCAGGGAACACAGAAGGCATGAAGCCTGCTATGTCCTTTGTAGCATAGGTTTGGTGGAGTTGGTGGCATTGCCTCCCAACTCGGATCCTCGTTCAGTGGGTTTGGGTTTAATTCAAGTTCTTATTCAAGTCCCGTGGAACCAGGCCAGGTTCCGCCACAAAGTGCCTTGCTCGGGTGAAAATCTCAGGAGTGGAGACGCACAGTTCCTCTGAAGCTAACGATAGAACAGGAGAAGGATGTGTCTCAGCTCTGCTTCCCTTTAGCCTTTGACACGTCTTTGAGAGTCCTTGCCCCCTCTCGCTTTGCTCCTAGGCCCTGTGTGATCCCCACAGGAGGTCTTTCCTGCCAGGAGGGTTTGGAGTGAGGGGTTGTGCCTGTCCATCCTAGGCAGGAGACCCCGGGGTGTGGATGGGACTCAGACATCCCAAGTGTCTCAGTGCAGAGGGGCCTCTCTGTGCATTATTGGAAGTGCTTGGCTGCTCCAGGGAAAGGGAATCAGCAGGGAGCGCAGGAGCAGATGGCGCAATGCACAGGTTTCTCTTTGTTGAATTTTGGGAAGTGCCTTTATTTGCCCGGTGGGGAGTGTGAGCTGCTCACCAAGCTAATCCAAAGCCCCATGGGGGCTGGGGTTGTTCGCCACGAGGTGCCTTCCCCGGGTTTTCCAGGCAAGGGCATTTGCCTTGCTGTACTTTGTTCCCCTTTCTCCCAGGGCATTTGCGGTCCTGTCTCCCAGGCCACGAGCCTGTGATGCAGTGGTGGTGGGGGGTCTCCAGAAGCAGCTGCAGTGATCTGGGTGAGACCTGTGGACATTGGCCACCCGAGCTGCTGCTCCTCTCCTCTCTGCTCTGCTTCTGGTGGAGGTTGACCCACGCTTCCGGGGAAGCCCTTGGGGTTTTTACTGCTTATCTTCTCTGGAGTCAAACTTTCCCTTGTATCAATGAAATAAAAAGCTGTGTGTGTGTATGTGTGGTGCACTTTGAACCTGCAGTGGGCTTGGCTCAGTTCCTGCGGCATAGTGGAAGCAAGCCTGGGTCTATGGGACCCTTTGCAGATGCATGGGAGGTCCTGAGGGGGTCTTTGGATGAGCCCTTGGTCCTCCTGGTCTCCCTACAGTGCTGCCCTGTCCCCACTAGAGGTCACTCGGGGGCTGAGCATGGCGGGAAGAAGCCATGCAGAGGGAAGAGTACTGATGCCAGGATCTGCTGTATTGCACGCCTGCTTTCCTCCTTATCCCCACGTGCATCACGTCTCTCTGAGCCCAGCCCCAACGCAAGTCACAGCAAGAGCAGAGGATGTAGGGGCAGCCCAAGGATTCGCCTCTTTGTGTGCCTCTGTCCCCAGACAGGTCTGCACAGTTATATCTTCAAGGTGCATACATGTGTGTAGATATGGATTTGCACCTCGCGCTTGCACCCTGGGGGTTTATAAGTCATGCATGTTACATGCCTGTTATGTGCCGGCTCAGCTTCTTACATGAGCTGAAGGAGTCTCTTTCTATCCTTGAGGGGTGGGTGGCAGTCGTGATGGAGAAGGCGACGGGACAGCAAGGGACTGAACACAGGGGATGTCTGTACTGCAGCCAAAGGCATGACTGGCTTGTATAGCATAATCCAGCTGGCTTGAGGCTAATTAACCTGGTCCCTGTAATCACCTTGACATCTACCCAGCTCAGTAGGGAGCTCCTCGTAGCAGCATGCCAGCTACATCCCTGTGAATGCAAGGAGCAGCGTGGGGCTGTGTTAGCTGCACTTTCCATGGGGATGTAAGCCCACAGCCTGGCTCTGCAGTTCATACCTGGTCCATGAGCTCAGATGCCCTGGGGCTGGGGAATGAAGGATGCCTACAGGCATATGTCCATGGGTCTTTGCTTCACTAAGCTAAGGCAGCTCCTGTGTAGCCTCCACTGCCATAGCACTGGGATCTCTCAAGCGTATATTAAAGTTTACAGCAGCCAGACATTGCCTGCATGGTCCCCCCTGCTTTACCTGTGGTGGGGTCAGGTGTGAGGTCTTGTGTCAGGGTCGACAGTAGTTTTGCTATGAGGTTGGACAATGGGTTTGTATAGAGCAAATCCTGCTTCGGGGGATTAGATGAGCTCTGGAGGTCCCTTAAGCCCTGCTTCTCTATGGTTTGGCGCGGGAGGGTATAGCCACCTGGTCCAGCCCAGTGGGAGGTTCTTGCCCAGCACTAGCCGCATGCGGTCAAAGGGGATGAGCCCAGATGGACGCCATAAGCTTCAGGGTCAGCGTATCCCTCCTCTTCCCTTTGCTGCCGCCAGGAAAGGCAATAGCTCGGCACTGCTTTGAAACGCAGCCGCCTCCCAGCATTGTGGGGACATGACATCCTTGCCATCGCTTGCTGGATCAGCAGACATCTCTTGCTCATGATACAATGCTCCAGCTTGCCTAACCTTGGCCTTCGGCTCAGCCGGCGCATTTCTTCCGCCTGCCGTTCTCAAGCTGAAAGCGCCGCAGAAGATGCCCTAGCCTCACAGGCCAGGCAAGTAATTAGCTCAACAGGCAAGCCATAAATATAGCAGGTACCTGGCCGTGTCTTGCATTTTGTGAGTGGCTGGCCTGGCTCCAAGCTCATTAGACCAGCCCGCACTTGAGGCAGCAGGAAGCAAAGAGAGGCTGGGGGAGCCCTTTCTGCTTGAAGGACGTGTTTTTGCCGAAAGCAAGAGCGGTTGGAAGGCTAATGAAGATGGCAAGAGGCAGGGAAACCCATCGCCCAGGTTTCCTGCCAACTGTAGGAAAACCCCCCCAGCATAATGACACATGGATAGGATCATTCTGGCTTTCCTGGCGCGAAGGGTTTGCTTCCTGGTGCCCCCAAGGGCTAGGATGTCTGAGGCGGAAGAAGCTGGGAGGCAGAAATGAAAGGAGGTGTCTTCACTTCTAAATGAATCCACCCATGGAAGAGATTCAAAGCCAAGAAACCCCAGCGAGGAAAAGGCCATTTCAGCCGCTGTTGGAGCAGTTTGAATGCAACCAGCCAGCCCCCTCCTGGAGAAACAGCTTCTATTGTTTCTTGCAAATAGACTCTGCTGTAGCATTAAATCAATCATGGGTTTTTACTAGCACAACGCTGTGCACAGGGATGCGCTGGAGGACTCAGCCCTGCCCTCCGGCTGCAGCTTTCTGCATCCCCTTGCACCCCAGGGCTGCTGCTGTAGCTGGTTCCCAGCTTCCCTGCCACAGGATCCTGCAGACTCCTCCAGGCATCTCTCCTGAAAGGCAGGGGTTGGATTTTGGCTGTGGCTTAGGCAACACCTGCCACAGGGGTAACGCAAATCTGACTTAAATGCACTCTTGGTCCTCAATGCCTGGAATAATGGGGGCGTTTTGGGCAGAAATCCCTACGCTGTGCGCCGATAGATGTTATCCCAGCTCCCTCTGCGGTGAGGTCTGTGGACACCCCCAGCACACAGGTCAGGTCACCTCTCCTCTGCCATATATGCACATCCAGGCAGGACAACACGCAGCGCCGTAATGCCGCGACGGTGTCTGAGAGGGCAGGATGTCGCCCCCCCCGCTCCATGCCACCCCCAGGGTCTGGCTTGCAAGTGGCAGAGAAACAATAGTATTGCCTTGCTTTGGCAGTACGGTGCCCAGGCTGTTTGGGCTGAGTGCAGCCACGATGAAGCTCTCAGAGCCAGTGAGACTCGGGAGCGAGGATGCCCAACTCAGTGGCATGGAAATCAGGGGAGCAGCAGCCCCCAGAGCTATGGGCTGATGCAACGTGGCCGGGATCCTGCTGCTATAAGAGGTTGTTAACATGCACTCGAGAGCGCCCAGGAAGAAGCCGTGCCCCTGCTACGGATCATAGACGTCACAGAAATTAAGGGCTGGAAGGGACCTCGAAAGATGAAGACGACCTCCCTCCCAGTCTGTACCAGTCTGAGCATGGGGGAAAAGTCCTTCCTGACCCCAAAGCTGGCATCAGTCTGACCCTGAGTGGAGAGGCAAGACCCCCTAGCCACGAGCCTCCAGGTTTAAGTCCCAGCAGGAGCATTGGCACAGCCCGGACAAAATCCCCGGCCTTTGGGGGCTGGTTCCTGATGGCTGCACTCATTTACAGGGGGGACGGGGCAACAGCTCATGGTGGACAACCCCGGGCAGGGACAGCATCCACAGCCAGCACCCGAGAGCTGGGGGACTTTGCTATTTTCCACCGGCGGAGCTCAGCCCTGCTTCGCCGATGGGCCTTGCCTAGAGAAAGGCTGGGTAGAAAAACCCACTGGCTCTGAGAAGGTCTGAAAGAGGAATTAACTCTCTTCCCCCTACCCTGTAGTCGCTGCCCATATTAGAGCCAGGCAGACAAGAACAGCCCAGCACACTTGATTGCTTATCTATAATTACAGAGCAGCCGCCTCCTCCCACGGCTCGTACACCGAGTGAATCATTGAGGCTGCACGGTTCAGAGGGAGGGGAGACCGCAGGGGCGCGCATGTGGGTGTGCTGGGGCAGGGAGCACGTGGACTGCTGCTTTGCCTCCACGCGGAGGGGGACATGACACTCGGCAGCTCACAGTGTTGCTCTTGCTGCATATCAGGCAAAGCCTGGAAGCTGTGGGCACAGTTGCAGGTTAGAGCAGGGCTTGCAATGTTGCGGCTGCTTGCACGTGTTCGCAGCCACGTCCAGACAATAGCCACAGGGCAATGAGTGCGGGCTACTTGTGTGTGCAAGGGGATTCGTTAATTCATTTTGTTCTGCACCTAATCCCAGGATGTACAAATGTGTTGGTGCAAGGCGATGGTGTGGGTTAATGAAGTATTCATTGCACAGCAAAGACTACCCAAGGAGGTTGATGAATTGATAACTGGAGCAGCATCCTGGGAAACTCAGTGCTAGGACCCTGCTCTAACCACCACACATTGCTGCCCCTTCCCAAGGGGCTTATCACCATCCCCTGGAGCCCTGCTGACCTACCTGGTCTGAACAGGGATAAACCCAACGTTACTGCAATGCACCGCAATTTTTAGCCAGGGCAGCTCTCAGCTTAACGAGAGGGAGACTTGTGCAAATAGAAGGGAGTGAATCACACGTGCTTGGGCCCCGGGTGGTGGGGACGTGGGTCTGGGGTAGATGGGTGGTTTGGGGCCCAGCGTTGCTTCCTCCACAGGAGTGTGGACACGCACGTAGCAGCATATGAGGCGGCAAAAAGCACCCGTATCTTGTGTCGTTCTGGATCCTGCGCTGCAGGAGTCTCCTGGGATTAAGGGCCCTGCTGCCAGCCCCACCTCTCCTCTCTTGCTGCTATGGTGGGGGCGAGGTCCTCTCCTGTGAAGCCCCCTTGCTGGCTTTCCTCCCGCCGCAACTGGGTTTCTCAAAGCCCCACATCCGGCTTTGCTCCCTTAGTGACAAACTTCACGCATGCAGCCAAGCCAGTTAGACTCCGGCGTGCTCGGCGCTGTAGAAATATAAACAGCCCCTTACTTTCTGTGGAGACAGCATCAGGCCCATTCTCTTTTGTTGCTCCCTGGTTTAAGAGCCTCCCTTTGCATTCACAGCTCAGGCCAAGCTCCTTGGCAGTGCATGCGAGAGCACCGCGCCAAGCTGTTTGCCCACGGCAAGGTGAGCGAACGCAAGCTGGGCCGGTGCCACTTTCGCTGTCGAGCTGGAGGATATTTGCCCAGGGCTCTGATCTGCCTGCCTGAAGGTAGGGCATGCTCTGTCTCTCCTCAGGGAGACAGAGCAGCATTTGGCAATGGGTTATCGGTGCACAGCTTCCTGCAGAGAACTGATGCAGAGATGTGGCAGGGCAGCAAAGGTGCCCCAAGTCCTTTGCAAAACTCATGGAGGGACCCGGTGCCTGGAAGACCTCAGCCACCTGCCCTGTTTCTACCCCCAGAGCCTGTTGTTCACTCCCCCGAGCAGGGAGCAAACGTGCAACCTTTGGGACAGGGGAGCATGTTACACCTGCCCGGGACCTCCTTTGCAGAGAGGCACAGGATGCGGTAA